TAATGCTCAAGACAATGCATTCTCCTGGACTGAATTCAGACCTAGGTTTCTTCTCTAATTACCAACACCTGCTATTGTCATTTGGCATCTCAAATCACTTCACTCTACAAGTTATAAGGACAGATAGACTCATCATTCTAGCTATATCTGAAGAAGTGAGCAGTAACTCATGAAAACTCATGTACTGCTACAAATTTTGTTAGTCTTTAACGTGCTACTGGACTCTTGCTCCCTTCCACTAATAAAGGATGCAAGCTGTGCTGTTAAGTTTCTTCCCGCCGCATCTGTTAGAACTAGAAAGGGGGATCTCTCCAAGTGCTATGGGACTCTATCTCTCTCTCACTCTCTGGCTCCCCCCCCCCCCAAGAAGTGTGCAGGCAACACAAAAGCTTATACCTGGAATAAAACGTTGTTGGTCTTAAAAGTGCCACGGGACTCCATCTCTCTCTCTCTCCTTCCCCCTCCATTCCCAAAGGAAAAGGATGGGGAGGAGCCCTCAGCCAATCATGGGAAGGGAGTTTGGCTTTCTTTCTCTCCTCTGTGAAGCAGGAAATAGGAGAGACTGGGCAAAATGAGCTATGATGCAGGGAACAGGAAGCAGGAACAGGAAGCAGCAGAGAGCCAGCTGCTCAGGGGCCGGATCGAAGACCTGCAGGAGCCGGAGCTGGCCCACAGGCCATATGCTTGACACCCCTGCTCTAAAGAAACAAATGTCCTTCTGGGATACATATTCTTTCCTCCCAAATCTGTTCATATGACTAAACTCGTATTTATGTTTCATATTGTGATGCCTATTGGCTACATGCAATAAACTTTGAACTGAACTCATATCTATGCAGCAATTCATTGACAGTAACAATGGATGGCTCTCATAACTCTAATTTGGGAACAGGCAAACAGGGCATTTATGGGAAAAATCAGTAGGATTCTCAGCACTTATGTATTTATTTATTTAAACATTTATATCCTTTCTTTCCTCTTAGTTTAAGGCAATTTACAGTAATAACTAAAATATCCCCAGCTAAAACCAAAGATAAAATAATCCGCCCCAACCCCAACCCCCCACTTCAAAAGATACTAGCTGTTCAACCCCCCTCAAATGTCCTGGACAAACAGGCAGGCCTTGCAGTGCCTCCTGAAGATCTCCAAGGACATAACCCCTCTAACTTCTTTAGGGAGCCAGTTCCACAGAGCCAGAACTATGATGGAAAAGGCCTGGGCTCTGGCTGATGCCAGACGGGCCACCCTGAGTGGTGGGATAGCCAACAGAAGGCTGCCTGATAACGATAACTAGAAAACAGAGATCTATGGAAGGAGATGGTCCTTCACTTTGATTCTCTTCAGTAAATACTTTTCTAGGTCCTCTCCCACTCAGCCAATCTCTGAGAGTAGAAGTGAGCCCTGAGCCCCTTCCCTATTCCCTTCCTCCATCCACGGGACACATTTTGTGTGGGCAGAGGAGGGTCACTGTAGCCTGGCAGTGATGATACAGTGAACTATTAATGACTGCTGTTGCTGAAAAGCACCACATGGAGGGAGGAAAGGGTGGCCCTCCAAGGTAGAGGCCCACCACCAGGAATTTTGCCAGTGAGATTAATAGCCAGTCCACCCCTCAGAAGAACAGAGGGAGCAACAGGATTTTATCACATATTCCTTTTCCAGACACAGACATTAATCTCTGTTAGAAAAGCATGGATTTCATCTAAATGTTAGTGTGAGAATCCTTTCCCCCCCAGAAGATATAAAAATAATATACTAATATACAAAGTGTTTTCCAGATCTCTTAACCCACGGCCAAGTTGTGGTAGCATAAGGCCTCGAGGGTATCCAGCAACCTGTCAGAGCAGTAGGTGGTACAGCACAGTTCCAAGTAATGAATCAATAATCATTACTTAGCTAGGTAGATATTAGTGTAAAATTGTATGTACCAAGTAACAACTAGAGAATAGAAAACTCGTGAAGACAGGGGGGGGGGCAAAGAGGAAATAAAGCTTAAAACTCTTCTTCTGTCTCTCTCAAGGGTCTCCAAAGATTAAGATCTGAAAACAGTAAAAGCCTGCCACTGTTTCTGAATTGCAGCTCTTGACTGAGGTGTTTCTGTTTGAGTAAAAGATACCAGAAGCACTAGCTTGGGTCCCAAGTCTTCCTTCTGCAAGCACCCTTCTTCATATAATGCAAAGGCAGTCCTCTGCTATGGACCATGTTCCTCTCATGCTATGCACTTTTCCGTTTATTGAAAGGCATTGGTTTTGCTTGAGTAGAAGCATCTAATGCTGGAGGAATGTACTCCACAGTGAATCATTACCCCTGCAGTGGAAAAGGGCACTGTGCAAGCAGAAACAAGGCTTAGAATCTCAGCCTTCAGCTTGTATTCAATAAGATCTGCTTGCAGAGTGGACCTCATGAGCAGGACTTTCCCCTTCTTGCTGCACCCAACAAATTCCACCCCCAATTTTGTTCTTGTGGGTCAGCTGGTCCTCGGGAACAGCACAGGCAGTAAAGTATGGATCTGCAGTGGGAGAAGGGGAACTAGCATAAACTACCACCTCCTTCTTCCAAAGGCAGGGGTGCCCTTAAGTCTTTGGAGGTACATGGTTGGATACAAGCCAATAGTACATGTTTAATATAGGAGTGACCTGTCAAAATACTTTCATTTCCAAGACTATCAAGTTGTTGTAGTGCTCAGCAGACATTTAAAAAACCCACAGGCATTATGCACAGATGAGCAGGATTGCATCTGCCCACTCTACAGGCAACATACATGCATTCAGCCAAAGGTCTACAGCAAGTCCTCTTCCAAATGAGTGGGAAAGCTGTAGTATTCTCAGCTGCATGGAACAGCTTGAACATGAACATGTACTCTTGTACACACATGGGACTTGGCCTGTAAATATCTGTGGGGGCTCATGGACACTGGGAGTGGGGAATTGCAAGTACAATCCTGCTCCCTCCCCTAATGGTATATGTTGCATGTAATTTTTGATGTCTGCATACAGTTTAGCTGTTGCAAGACAAAACTGTTTTTGTACAGCTTGAGGCTTGGGACTGATGGGAGACTCTGGCCATGTAGCAATCCTTTTGCCAGACAACAGACTTCCTGAACAAGCATAGGAAATTCATTTTGAAGGTTATAATGGGAACACCCTTGATGTTCTGAATGTGTAACAGTGTTTCAAATGATAATGCTTAACAAGCTAACCCACAGCAGTATCAGAAATCAAATATTTTTTCATTATTACCTGGTACCAGTAAATTAAAAACGACAGCAGTGTCCTTAGAGCAGCGGGCATGTATTTGATAAATTTGATACTGGAGCAGAAGTGATATTCCTGATGAACTTACTTCCAAAATGAGTTCTCTTTTATTTGCTAAAGAAGACATTCATTGCACAATCAAGTCCAGGAACTGTTTTGTAAGCTGTTTTTTTGGACAAACATTTTCCTGTATATCAGTCATTTTTAAAAAGATCTATCGGTTGTCTGCTACTCTATATGTACTGTATCATGCTTTCTGTTTACAGATAAAATCCAACTGGCATTGTGCCTCTTGTATAACACAGCAGACTTTGTATTCTATGGCTCATTTCTCCTAGTAGCTACATACAACAGCTTCTCCTGCATATCCAGCATACTAGTGCTCAGGGAATCTTTTTGTTGCAATCAATAGCTGATACCCATATATTTGGCAATAAACAACAACCAAGAAGTGCTCTAGCTACATTGCATACCTTAACATATATTCTGTAGTCAAAATATTGTCTTACGGAAAGGTTTTTAATACTGGAGACGATATAACAGTTGGTAAAAATATTTGAGACAGAGTTACCAGACAGGAGTTGATGACATGGGTCACTATGATGTCCATGTTGGTATTGCAGCACAATTTGTTCTTTAATAAACGAGTGACAATTAGTGCTATTACACCACTGCAGTTCTCCTATATGATACTCCTTTTTGCAAATCTCTGTTTGCACTACTGCAGCTAAAGTGGCCCCCTAAGATCACACTGCCAGGGAAAGAACATTTCTGTTAGTAAATCCAAGTTTCACCAGTTGTCTAGCTTTTTAAACTATGGCTTTGATTTATGGATCAAAATTGCTCATTTATAATTTTATCTGAACAGCTTTAGGAAATTCTGACAGTTAAAAATTTAGTTTTATTGACCAACGCAGCTAGTCTGCCCACAAGGGGACCAGTACATACACAGCCTATTGCACTGGAAAACAGACACACAAAACTATTATGTGATTCCATGACAAAGTTAGATTGGAAATCGTAACCAATATAACAATACGCTCCAAAGCTCAAATCTCAAGACCAAATGCTTCTTGTAAGACACAGCTGCTCTTTAAGAAAGAAGGTAAAAAACCTGGCTAGAAAGCCCGGCAACACAGTTTACCAAAGCTGACATAAGTCATTCATACATGCTTGTTTCAGCGAGAGTTCTGGGGGACTATGGGACAAACTCTCTTTATTACTGTAGACATCAAAATAAAAGCTACAAAGAAGGGACTAAAATGGTATACAATACAGAATTCCATGAACACTAAAGTAAAATATTCACTGGACATGCTCTGGCCAAAGGTGAGATTTCTAGGCCCCCCCTGGTTTCAATGGCAGTGATTTAAGCACAAGCTTAGCTCTCTCTTTGAAATCAATGTGGCTTGACAGTGCTTGATTCTTCTCGATTGTGTCCAAAGCATGTAATATGCATAGTTATTAATAGCATAAAGGAAGGGTATATAAAGGAGAAGGGCGGTTTATATGAAAAAGCTTTGCAAGTTTGCTTTGAAAACTTACTGAAATGATTTTAAGCCAGTTTTAATTTAGGCCTATTCCATTGTAAATTTACTATCTTCTGCTATCTCAATTCATTTTCCTATTGTGAAACCCTCATACTATATAAAATCTCTGTAGGGAAGCAAATCAATAAAGTGTCTAATTTGATTAACCATGTTTTAAAATTCATCAAGGTAATTCAACATAGAATAAACTGCTTACTTGTCAGTATTTTCCATGTCTTCTTTTCATCATCGTAATACTGAACCAAATTGCTGGGTAGCCGGTCAGGTCCAGGAGGCAGTCCTCCAACCAACAAAAGCATTTTCTTGTTAGAGCGAATTCTTCACCCAAAAGAAGAAAGAAGATGAATAACCACATTATTGCTGAGTATTTTTAGCAGCAACAAAAATCATAACCATCACGATAATGTTCACTGCTTGCAGTATTCTATTTCATTTTTTGTTTCTTTTCCCTATCATGTCCCCACAACTTTTTGAATCAAGCAGAAAAAATAATCAGAAAAGCAGCACAGCCTTCTACTTGCGGAATAATAAGTTTCCTTTATGCAATTTGTTAAAGGTTCATTCTAAAACGACCTTTTTCTTATATTATCCCTTTAAATCATCACTCTTTACAGCTGAATACACATGAAATGCTCTGGAGTTGTACTAAGGTTAAGCATTGAAGTTGCATGTCAAAAATCGTATTAGTCAAAATCATTATTATAAGCCATTCTACACCCAAAGAACCTTGAAAAAATTAAGGTTATGCTGAAAATTTGCAAGCCAGCTCCTTAATCACACACTGAAACTTCAATTCTGGTACTTCTGTACAATTAACAGCACCTCACTAACAGTTATAGCCTGAACTTGACTTACTTACAAAACACTTTTTTTGTTGTTTCATTTAGCCCAGTCTCCTGCATTCCCTTCTCCCCCTCCTCCACAACCCCTCCTTTCTCTGCTCTCCCTCTGAGCACCACTGGCTATAGCAACACCAATTGGTAAAAATGAGACTGTGATGTTGTTGTGAGCCTCCCCAGAGTGGAGCCCTGCCAATGCTTGCCACTGATCCAGCGGCATGAACCTGCTCAAGTGTGCAAAGTCACTCTAATTCCCTCCCTCTGTTTTTCTACCTTCTCCCCCAGGGGGCAGCCACTGAAAAGAGTGACTACCCACCCATCAAGAGCTGGCAATTCGCTGCTATTAACCGTGACCGTGATTCCCAATCTGCCTGGCAGTTCTTAAGAACAGGACTGCAACGTCTTACACGCAGTAAAAGCTGTAATATGCACCCTGGCCTCCATCGCTATACCTGATGAATGCACGTTTCTTTGTACATTAATGGATTTAACACAATTTCCAGAGAAGAGGGGAGAGGAGACCTAGACCCCTAGACGAGTACTGATGCCTTAATAGTCACTTCACATATAATTGAACATCTATCAGTTACACAAAGCCTGGAAAGTGATAAAATCTAAATAGGGAACCATGGTAAGGCAATTCATTCTACTATGTTACTGCAATGTTAAATTTAACTCTGAGCACATGCTACTGTCCACACTATGAATATGACATAATATATCACTGCATGATGGCCAGTTCAGTTTATGCTGACCCACTTGGTGTTCCTCTAGTTACCCTGTACTGTGTTAATCAATTATTTGTGCAAAAAAACAGTGCTTCCTTCCTTCCCATAATCAATCAGTATCACCACCATGTCATTTAGGTACAATAAAAATGGGGGCAAAGCTTCTGACATAGACACTCTCTTTTTTAAAAAACACACTCACTAGAAGCAGCTTTATCACCAAACTCCACATACTACATTTAAAAGAATAATACTTACTTATCTGGCAGGAATACCTGGATGACAGACTAATTTACATTTATATTAGTACAGCATCCTACTTAAAACATTCTGGAAAATTAACTCAGGTAAATGTGGAATTCCTTCTACATACCCTGTAATTAAGGTATTAAGGGTTATACCTAAAACAAATTAGGATTGCTTTAACAAAAAAGGAAAAAAGGAAAAAAGAAGCCCCTTAGATATGTACAAAAAGTACTACAACAGCAATGGTCAAACCTTCTTGGCAAGTGTACCAAAAGTTGCCCAAAGTTCCAAGACAGTGTAACTCTAATGTATATGTATGCAGCTTACTCCCCTTTGCTTTGGGATGGATTTACTTCTATTTTATTGAGCCCAGAGCAAGAAGTATCACAGCATGGGGACTCTCTGCCATAGCGAAGCCCACAGGCCTGTTCTTATCTAGGAATACAACATACCCTTGATGCCTGTGCTATTTGTAGCACACATGCTGAGTTAGGCCACCCAATGTTACACAGTTCTGAATGGAAACATCTGATTTCATTTACAACAAGGAACAGCAATGATTATGAAGGTCCTTGCCACTTATGTGCCCATGAACACGAAGAAAGAATACCTAGCACTGGTTTCCTTGGCAATTTACTTTTAGCCATTATGCCAAGACTGCCTCTAATAGTGAAATGATAGTTATTACGAGCTTTAAAAGAATTTAGACACAGAATAGGTAGCAGGTAATAACAGAGCTCATGCAAATGAGGGAAGTCTTCAACACTGGAAATCAAATCAGTCCCACAATCATTGTCAGCATACTCTATCTTCAGACTCAAGACTGATATATGAAAATCTCAATATGCTTCATTCTAACCAGTCCCTCCAAAGAGGGAGCAGAATAAACCATTTTTTAATTTGAGTTAAGGATGACTGAACACATAGCAAGAGACTGAGCAAAGTTAAGTCATAAGTCACTTATGCATGGTCATCCTTAATGAGCAAGAACAGATTGTTTATTCCAACCCCCTTGTGCAGCATGTTCTATTTCTATCACAAGCAGCTTCACTTGTACTTTAAAATTCTGAAAACCATGATACGGTTAGCCAATAAAGAAGCTTATTCACTTTTGTATTTCATTCGTATCTAAATAGCCCACTTCAAGCCTCGTAGAACTATGAAGAAAACAAAGAAAAAAACAAATGTTCACTTGTTTTAGGTGCAGGATGAATTACAACACTTTGCTATGAATGATCAAATAGGGGTCACAGGTGCTATACCCTTGAACCCCAATCCAACTGGTGTGAGCATGCAGAAATTAGGACTGTGCTTGCATAGCCCTCTGAAGTAAGATGTAAACTGTGATGATAGGTTGATTTGCTGAATCAGCTGAATCAACATAATCGGATGCTACTAAAGTGAGGATATAACTGTTGCAAGATTATGGGTGCCCAAGAAAGATGGCATACTGAGACCAGAAAAAGGTGTTCTGGATGGCGGACAGCATTTGAGTGTCCATAATCAAAGAGTCTAACAGCACCACAAAAACACAAATCTAGTCTTAAAATGGAGTGCAGACTCATCCAGAATGAACCAAATATGACCAGCCATGACATCTATTAATCTTGCTTGGACTGAGCTTCAGTTTATCCGTCCTTATCCAGGCCATTATCAACTCCAGGCCCCTATTCAGGACATCCACTGCCATGGCTGGATTAGATGACAAATCTCTGGATGAGTTTACCCAGCAAGCATGTGATTTAAGATGGAAGCCTGTGGCACCTTGTAATGTAAAGGCCATGAAGGAAGGTAGCACTCCTCTACCACAACATTTTGCCTGTCCTGTTCTAGCTAAGCAATCCAGAAAGATATCATGGTCAGTTATTTTATTTATTTATAAATTCAATTTATAGCCCGCCCTCCCCACGATGCGGGCTCAGGGCGGCTCACAGATACGCGTAAGCCAACACATTAAAACAGGTTAAAACCATATAAAATCAGTACTACAATGTTACAACATATCAAGTGCTCTAGATGTTCCAGAATAATCTTCCATAAAGATGACGTCTCAAAGATGGTACACCCAATCAGTGCTGTCAGTTCCACGTGACACTGTCGTTCTCTCTTCCCAGGGCCAGTTGGTAATTATGGTAAAATAGTGATGGTACGATAGTGGCGGCTCCTACTCGAAAGCCTGGCGGAAGAGCTCCATCTTGCAGGCCCTGCAGAACTGCACAAGGTCCCGCAGGGCCCGGACCTCCTCTGGGAGCTCATTCCACCAGGTAGGAGCCGCCACCGAAAAAGCTCTGGCCCTGGTAGCAGCCAGCCTGGCCTCCTTGGGGCCTGGAATCGTCAGGAGATGTTGCGTCCCCGACCGCAGTGCCCGCAGGGGAACATATGGGGAAAGGCGGTCCCTTAGGTATATTGGACCCCGGCCATATAGGGCTTTAAAGGTAAGAACCAGCACTTTGAAGCAAATCCGGTACGCTATCGGCAGCCAGTGCAGTGCTTTCAGCACAGGCCGGACTCATATTGAGCACAGGCTGGACTCATATTGACTCATATTGAGTTAAATCAAAATGCACTTAAACCTCCAGAAGACTTAACAGATTCACAATCTCTCTGTTTTTCTCCTACCAGAATGGCCAATGCGATTCAGTCCTAAAAGCAGAGAGGAAACAGGTTAAAATGTGTTATTCGGAAATACCTGAGCAGCCACCCTTTGCTTGGGTACCTTATCTCAAGGGGGGAGATTTCTGACAGGTCAACAGTTGGCAAAACTGTCTGCATCTTCCTTAATATGGCATTCAGCACCTCTCAGATTCAATGGGTCACTTCTTCCTCCTAACCAGATATCAGCCAAGAACAGTCAATTATAAGAGTGGCAGGCAACACCCCTTCAAACAGCCAGATCACATCATCTGGCAGCAGTAACTGGAACTTATCGAAGCAGGTAGCCAATAAGCCTAAGGGAACATTTGAGAGCTATAAGACACCCAATAGAGCTTCAAGGTTGCAGTGGATACAAGCAACTTTATTATACAAAGTACTTTGCAAACAAGTAACAGCATGCTGGAAAAGATTCAAATAGACTATGCTCAGTCCCTGACTCCCCACTTGAAGAAGCTCCCTTAGAATATAAAGCAATCAGCTGGAAAGCACTAATTGGATGTCTAATATCATCAAGAATGGTCAATAAAGGAAGCTCAGGTTGAGTTGGACTCAAATTGAGATTTCCTCCATTTGTTTCCAGACTCTAATCCATGGGAGGAGGCATCTAGGGGATATTGGCTGCAGTCACACAAACTAAATAATCCACTTTCAGTGCACTTTCCAACTGGATTTTACTGTGTGAACTGGCAAAATCCAGTTGAAAAGTAGATTGAAAGTGGATTATTTAGTATGTGTGACCACAGCCATTTAGTCAAGCACCCCAGGTCATGTCCATGTTCTAAAAGTTGACCAAGACTTCAACAAGAGCATGACCTGACAATAGGAAACTCTCTGAGAGTCATCAGGAGAG